ACGCTCGCAAATGCCGTGGCTTCTCGAACAACCAGACAACATCCTCAGTACCTCTGCATTCCACTACGACACTCTCGAAGGCGACTATGCCTTCACCACCCCTCAGATCCTCAAAGATCCATACCATGAACACGTTATCCATAAATACCTACCGCGGCGGATCGCTCCCTTGATTCCAGATATGTGGGAGGAAATACAGGTGGCAATGGATCAGACATGGGGCAAGGATACAAAGGCATGGAAAGAGATTGGGATTTGGGAGAACATGATGAGAATCATACCAAGTATCACGAACCGAATGATGCTTGGACTGCCAATCTGTCGGAACGAAGATTTTCTGAAGAACATGGGCAAGTTCGCTATGGATGTCATATCCTCCGCTTCAATCTATCTGCGGCTGACACCTCGCATCCTCAAACCCATCATCGGACCTCTAATAACCATACCAAATACCCGTCACTGGCGGAACACGACCAAATACACTCTGCCAATCATCAATGAGCGGCTAGCCAATTTCAAGAGGATGCAAGAGGATCCCAGCTTCCAATGGAACGAGCCAAACGATTACATAAGCTGGCACATCAATCTCGCCACGGCAGAAGGCCGCCACGATGAGCTAACACCAGATATGATCTCTCGACGTCTCATGCCGCTCAACTTCGCCGCCATCCATACCACTGCCCTTACCGTCACCAATACCATCTTCGACCTCCTTTCCTCGCCTTCCTCCTCAAACTGGCTAGAAGGCATACGCGAAGAGGCTGAAAGGGTATTGGCGGAAGAAGACGGACAGTGGACGAAAGCCGGACTGGGGCGGTGCCACCGGTCCGACTCCGCCATTCGGGAAAGCATGCGGGTCAGCAACTTCATGACAAGGAATGTCTTGCGGAAAGTGATGCCCGAGGAAGGCATTGAGAACAAAGCGGAAGGGTGGCGAGCTCCCCAAGGCCTGTTGATAGGGGTGGACATGCACAGCGTCCAGCATGACCCGGAGATCTACCCAGATCCCAACACCTATGACGCGTTCCGGTTCTCGAGGCCTCGAGAAGAAGCTGATGCATCAACAGTGCACAGCGAGGTCAACGGAATCAAGAACACTGGACTAATCACCACATCGGATATCTTCCTTCCGTTCTCGCATGGACGTCATGCATGTCCTGGAAGATTCTTTGTATCGCTAGAGATGAAGCTGCTGCTGGCGTACATGGTGATGAACTACGATGTTGAGCCTTTGAAGAGCCGACCACCCAACATTTGGTTTGGCCAGAGTTCGTTGCCACCAATGAAGGCCACGATCAAGGTGAGACGGAAGGAAGGAGCGACAAAGAAATGATTGATGATACCCATGCCTAAATGCATCTCGTGCTTTGGGCACCCGGAGCTGGTGTTTAGGGGTTGTCCTAGACACGTAGCCATTGAGGGATCTAGCCATGTTGCGGAGACATGAAGTGGGATAGTTTTCAAGCCAGCAAGCGGTATTGTTGTATAGCTTTCAACTCTTCAGACAGGAAGTGAAGCTTCTCATTTTATTCTACAACCTATGTCATGCTCTCACTCACTCTCAGCTCTTTCACATTGACGATTAGGCTAATAGAGGAGCGCGACCTATCGCCAACTTAGGCTCCTTACTTCTCGCCGTTATGTCTTTTCTCGAGAAGGCCTCTAATGACGACCACCATTTCCACAAGGATTCCGAGTTCCAAAAAAACTATACTTGACCAACCGCATTTTCCGTGTAAGAGAATGTAGCAGATATCATGCATGGAGAGGGTTTAAATTCATAACATGAGACGGCTTTCTTTCTTTTCGATTGCGCACATACTTGTGGTTATCGGCCAAAACAACTCGGCTTCTTCTCTATAAGAAGGGTTTTTCTTGCAGATGAAATAGCGAGTTTAGAATAAAATCTGTGAAAATGGCCACCTTTTGCTAGCATCACGCGTGGGTTATACCACCCTTACAGATTTGCCCTGCAAATAATTCAAGGTTTTCAGAAAAGTTCGGTGGAAAGCGTCACTGTTTTGGGGCAACTGTAGGACTGCCACGATTTCATCAAGGCCTTTTACCCTTCATGCATTATATATGCTACATTCTCTTATCTTTGGAAGACGTTTCACTGCTGAATCTTACTCAGTGCATGGCAATCGTAAGTCAAACAACGACAAACAAGTGAGCCGTTGAACGACTATACGATGGGTACATCAGGAAGCAACCTCTGGGTACGTGCAAGTCACACAGCATGGTCGATAGTCTCGGAACCCGAAAGGCAGGCACAAGCTCAGAGAAAGTGACGACTTGTTAACACTGGAACTTTTCCTATTCACAGAGATTATAGGTATCTCTCCGAAATTTATATCTGTTTGGAATATGGCGGACTCAGTACAACGGTCAGGCGAGGGGGAAGTTTTCCTGGTTGATGCTGCTCTTGTTGATGTTCCAGGGATTTCTACTGCGTGAACTGCCGAGTTTCCTGTCCTTGGCCAACCTGTACACTGTACACGGAACAGAGACTCTGTGAGCAAGAAACCTTCGCAAATTATTGTGGGTATGCATCAAACAGTGTTGCTGGCCTTCGGTAACCATATAACATGCAACGCTGGTAGCCGACGATATGGGACAAGTCAGGTATCCTCCAAGATGGAGAGCCGGAACATGCAAGCTGTCGAAGCCTACGCGCCAACGTGCAATCGAGGGAGGAGAGGAAGTCACGACGTTTTCTAACCGATATTGGGCAGCGATTCAACTCAGGTGGCTAGACTTTGCGTCTATTGAATTAACCTCAGTACTCTAGCTCAGAAGATTACACAGGATTCCCAAAGCTTATCGTCACTGCTTCTCGTTATCGTCTTTATCATACTCATCATCCTGTTCGCTATCTTCATCACTCATGTTCTCGTCTTTGTCGTCGGTCTTTCCGCCCTCATCACTGAAGTAGTCATCATCGGTATCTTCCCCTTCATCACTGCTATCGTCATTGTCAGCGAAGCCAATGTACAGTCGCTCAGCCCTTTCTTTGTCGCTCCTTTCTGCTGGAAAGAATTCGTACCGACATACAGGACAGGTGTTGTGAGCTTGTAGCCAAGCGGTGATGCATTTAGAGCCCACCGTGTGCTTGGGATTGCAGGGCAAGCGGATCTGCCTCTCCGCCGTCTCGGTTTCGGAAGACCTTGCGCCATACTCTTCTTTACAGATCAGACATTCCTGACCCTCTTCCACTTGCACGCTATTCTCCCTCCTCAAGAGTTGGGAGACGAATTGTTTTCTGTCCATGGTGGGTCAGGAAAGATCTGTCTCCGAGTCAGGCTTATGTTGTAGAGTGTGAGTCAAGTGCAGGGTCTTGGGAATAGAAAGATAGAAAGGAGGGTACCACCTATTCAATAGCAGCACTCCAGCATTCAATCACTCAACTTTAAATGTTCTTTGGGTTCAAACAATCGTATTGTCTTTCTCCCGGGACATCGTCTGTCATTGTTACATGTTGATGGGACAAGGCTTTGTGCAATTTGGATGTGGCGATATCATAGATGACAACCTCACGTTGTCGTCGATCTGAAGCCCATTTAGCCAAGAAGGCTGCTCGCAATATTGCTCGATTCCGGTTAAACCAATAGGAGTTGCAGTGACCTTAGAAAGGGATCATATCAGCGTGCCTGTCGGCCCACTGGACGACAGATAGTACTATGCCAAATAAACAAGCGTCACCGCAGCCATGGCAGCTGCTCGGAGTGATTGATTGACGGTGCTATAGTATGAGTGCATGCTAATCCAGTATCCCAAAAGGTCGGAGAACCGTCGTTAGAGTTTGGATAAATATCTAATATATGCTATCGCTTCCGATCCCCAGCTCATGGGTCATTTCGCAATAGTCTTCACAGGCAAACTTCCAGAGGAAGTGACACGTTCAGCAGCTTCTGGTAGCTTGGACATTTGGGCTCTTCGCTCGAAATGCATGCGAAATCTGTTAACTGAATCCCAAAATGTGAGTAGCCACGCCGCCTCAACCTGTCCGTTCGAGCGACATCAGCTGTGTTTCGTCAGATCATCCCACCACCACCACCATCGACTCTTACCAATACGAACTTCCCGTTGTTGACACGTATTATGTATATCCTCACGCCGCACAGCCTGGCCCCCACCTTTCCCTCCTTTCCCCTTTCCCTCCCACTCACTTTCCTTTTACAGATGTGCTCCCGAGGATAGAACGATTTGCGAAGCAAACTTCGTCTTCGTTACATGAATCAAAAGACTAGCCCACGGCCTCTTTGGTCTTCATCATAATCCACAGCAAAACTTTCTCATCCCCAATCCCAACAGCCGTTCCGCACAAATCTTCATCTGCGCCTTTTAGAAACGGACACAGAGCATCTCACCAGCCAGTCTCGTCTCAAGCCCTCGAGTCATATCATCAGCTTACTTCCGCATTAGGCAAGATGCTCCACATGCCGCCTTCTTTCCCCCTTCTTCGCAGCCGCCGTGAAATTACCCCATTCCGCCTATTCTCCAATTTATCATCCGTTATATAATAGTCCACCTTGTCCATAGTAACCTCACTCGAAAGCTGTAGTTGGCTTTGTCTCCAAACCCCACACTGCCAGAAAGTGCAAGGTGGATATTGTTAAAGAACGTAGAATTGATGATTCTTTTTCTCATGAGATCTCTGGACACCGTTCTACACACAGTGGTAAATCAAGTGTTTCGGAATACGAGGTGGCTGGCATGAATGGGTGATGACTGGGGGCCAAACTACAACAATTACGCCTACTCGTATCATGGATTTATGGGATTTACATCGGCGAAAGCGTGGGATCCGAAAAGAGCACCATCAAGAATTCATATACATACCACATTTCATGCTCCATTTCTCGTCTTTGTGTTTTACTCATCTTTTCTATCCTCAGATTAAGATACTTCCCCAGTTTCCACTCCTACTACAAAAGGGAGCCTCTTATCTTGTAGCACTCAGCAAAATCCATTTCCTGTCTTCTCAGACAGACTATAGAATGGCATCCAACAGAGCTGCATGGCAAAACGCCGTGGGAGAGAAGCTTAACGTCCAATCCGCTCCCTACACACCTCCTTCGGAAAACGAGATCGTCATCAAGAATCAAGCCTGGGCTGTCAACCCCATCGACTGGCTTGTGCAAGAGAATGCACTCTTCGACTGGATGGAATATCCTCTCATCACCGGATCCGACATCGCCGGCGAGGTAGTCGAAGTGGGCAGTGGTGTCATGCGCTTCAAGAAGGGTGATCGTGTCCTCGCAATGTCGATTGGACAAGATAAGAACAAGCATTCTGAGGGGGCATACCAGCTGTACAGCGTCGCCCAAACCGTCTTGGCAGCACCGATTCCCGACAGCATGTCTTATGCCGAAGCCGCCGTCTTCCCTTTGGGTCTGTGCGTAGCCGCCTGCGGTCTATTCCAACAAGATCAACTAGCTCTCCAGCACCCCACTGTGCCTCCGAAGCCCACTGGAAAGACTATAATTGTTTGGGGTGGCGCTTCCTCTGTTGGTTCGAATGCCATTCAGCTTGCGGTTGCTGGTGGCTATGAAGTTTTCACTACCGCCTCACTCAAGAACTTCGACCACCTCCAAAAGCTTGGCGCAAGCAAGATTTCTGACTACAACAGCAAAACCGTTGTCGACGATCTGGTTTCCGCATTAAAGGACAAGCAGTTCGCCGGTCTATTCCACGCGGCCGGAGCATCTGAGGCCAGCTTCGAGGGCAAATTACAAATTCATACCCCAAACTATGGGATTCTTACAAATTCATACCCCATCTTACATTTTCATACCCCTCACCAAAAAAATGGGGTATGAATTTGTAAGTTGCCAGTCTTTGGGGTATGAATTTGTAAGTTACCATTTCTTGGGGTATGAAAATGTAAGATACCATGTTAGCAGCAGCCCTCACGGGGGCCCTGCGACGTCCCTACGGGGCCCTATTTAGGTCCAAATAGGAGTGTCTGGCTGTCAAGCGCAGAGACCCCCGGGACCAAGCTTTTTTAGCTGAGTTGCTATCATTAGAAGGGTATTTTAGGGTGTTTCAGGCTATCTACCCCAATTATTAGTAACCCGAGTTACCGCTAAAGGGTTAAATAGGGGTGTTTACACTTCACGCTGCAGACACCTCTAAGGAGCCCCGCAGGGCCCTCGGAGGAATAATTCCTAACACCAACCCGCCCTATAGATGGCAACTTACAAAATCATACCCCTATAAATGGTATCTTACAAAATCATACCCCTGTCAATGGTATCTTACAAATTCATACCCCATTGGGGTATGAAAATGTAAGATGGGGTATGAATTTGTAAGAATCCCATAGTTTGGGGTATGAAAATGTAATTCGCCCCCAGCTTCGAGGTGGTCGACAAAGCCACTGGGACCAAATTTGTTTCCTCAGCCCCGCCTATTCCCGAGAACAAGCCCGGCGGTGTTGAGGCTAACATGGTTTGGGGAAGTTCGCTGAAAGACAACGAGGTCGGTCCGGCGATCTTTGTTGACTTTCTACCAAAGGCGCTCGCGGAGGGTAAATACATTCCGGCACCCGAGCCTTGGATTGTTGGGAAAGGCCTCGAGTCCATTCAAGATGGATTTGAAGCCCAGAAGAAGGGTGTTTCCGCGAAGAAGGTGGTCATTACCGTTTGAGTTTAGCATGGAGCAAGGTTTTTCAACGCCTCAAGATTCCCATATACTCCATATCGGAATGAATCGATGGGGCCATGAGTGGGAAGTAGAGAAGTCATCTTGTTGCGCTTTACTAGCTTCCAAAGACCCAGGTACTGCAAATGAAGCAAGCTATCACTCAAACGACAAGATGGCTGTTTCTGTTCCATTACTCTCCATCACTTGCTGATCTAGCTTACAATGATACCACCGTGAGCGTTCAGAATCACGCTTTAGCATGACTTTCATGCAGGCCGGCGTTGGGCACACTGGCTTCATTTACAGGCTCAGTCCATCGTTTGGCATGTCGGCTACGCAGGAGGTGGGTTGGGAGGATTTGCACCCTGTCCTACACTGAAGATAGCACCATGTACCAGGTCCTTGCAGAAGGTGCCCAAATCTGTAATGCGAATCTGCCCAGTGGAAATATGACTGACTTTCCGGACCTGACGCTTTGACACGACCAGCAAGTGGGTTGCGTTCATTGTGCGGCAAGGACCAGATTTCCTACACTTAGGGCCCCTTCTGCAACCACATATTTTGGAAATAACCCCTACTTATTTCCACTAAATAACGCCACCACTTAACTAATGAAAACAAGGCTTAAAAATACGCTATGGATATTTCCAAAACAAGTAGAATATGTGTACGGTTCCGTTCTATAACCCTATTTCTGAGGCTAAGTCAGAATCATCGCAAAAATTATCTTCTCCGTAAAAAACTATTAAATTCCTATTATTCCATATTATTATAGTCGAGATATCTATTACTACTACTATATAGACTTTAACTATTATTAATACTTCTATTACTTCTATTATTATCTTAAATAAATCTACTCTTATAGTATCTATCGATATCGATATCTTATTATCTATAATTTAAAGCTAGACTATAAAGATAATATTATTTCTCGAAATAGTATAATAATATCGTCTTAATAAGAGAGTAGATATCGGCTTTAAATCTAAAGTAGAGGCGATGATTTTAGTTATTATTTAAATTGTAATTCTAATAGAGTATCGTATAAATAGATTTTAATATTAGAAAAAGATAATTAATTATAAAGTTAAATAGACTTTATAGAGAATACTTCGCTATAAGCTAAGTGGCTGAGGATAGAATAATAATATATAAATACTATTAGTAGATAATGATTAATAGCGAATATAAATAAGTGTATATAATAATATAGAAATAATATATAGTTAAATAATACTTTCTAGAAGAATAAGCTTATAAGCGGACTTCGAATTAAGTCTCTTTAGTATATTATTAAATTTAACGAGTTATTTCTAAATAGAATAGCTATTAAAAATTACGTTTAGTCTATATATACAATTTCGATAAATCTTAATCTTTTCGAAATCTTATTCTTCTTCTCTCTTCTATTCTCGAATACTCTATAAAGTAATATCGAATATTTAAAGTAGTCGAATAATAATATATCTTAGATCGTAGCTAAGAAGAGATATACTAGCTCTATAATTAAGATATCGATTTTCGTTAAGAGATAGAAGAAGATTAGAAAATAATATATAGATATAGCTATTAGTAAAGTTAGTAAATAAATAAATAGAGCTATTATATAAAGAGAGAAGGAGTTTATATAGCGTGTAATTAAAGAAAAATAATATATAAAAGAGATATCGCAGATAGTAATTAAGGAGATTTTAGCTTTATTATAAATTATAATAGATATAAAGAATTCTAGCTTTATTATATAGGCCGTAAACGTGTTTTTAAATAAGATAAAAGTATATATATATATCGCTCTTTTTAAGAGTATAAGAAATAATTAGTTATAAGAGAAAGTTAATAAATTAGAAAGAAAAAAAATATAACTCGAAAGTATATAGAAGAAAGTATTTAAAATAGCGGAGTAGCTTTATACGCTATAGATAAAAAACATAGCTATTTAATAAAGCATCTTAGTTATTAAGTAAGATATACTTAATAATTTCTTTATATATTTTTCACGACTTAATTTCTTAAAGTATTTATTCTCGTATTAGTTTTAAAGCTAATCTTTAAAGACTTAGAATCGCTAGCGTTATTGCTATCTAATGCCTTAGTAATATATATATTCTTATTATTTATAGAATAGTATAGAGTAATAAAGTTATATAAGACTATAAGATCGAATTATATTTATATCTAAGTTGAAATATCGAATTCTACTGAAAAGTTTATAGATAAAAAGCGTCTTTTAAGTATATTAAAGATTTTTTCTATAATATTTCGTAGCTAAGAGTATCGTAGATTGAAGAGTTTCTTTATATTCTCGAGCTTCTTTTTAGCTTCTTTTTATTCTTTTAAATAATATTATATTTCTATATATAATATTATTAGAAAGTTATAATTAAAATATCCAGCATCGACGAGATAGTATTTGCTCTTTGAAATCGTAAATTTTTAATTAAAGATAGTGTTCTATAGAACCTTAACATCATAGGCGGATTCTTCTTATTCTGAAAGTATATAGTGAAATAATATATTAAAACCATATATAGCTAGAATATTCTAACTGAGTTTCCTCTTTTTATTTTATTATAATATATACTTTTCTACTAGCATATATATATTAATATATATCCCGTTAAATACTTCTAGATAATCGTTAAAATAGAGTATAAATTTGAGATTTAAGAGAATTTTAGAGGGGGTTAGATAAGGCGCTTTAGATAATTATATTATATATCTATAAAGAATAATAAGAGCGTTAGATATCTTATGAAAATATCGAGATATAATACTAGTAGAGTATTGAAATCGATTATTAATTCTATTATTATTAAGACTATAGTCTACAAAATATATAAATATAGCGAGTTTCTTTATTATATTAATGGCCTTAGACGGAATTAGCTAAATATAATTAAATAACTAACTCTCTAGCTAATTTAGAATATATAATAGTATATAAAAGACGCTTTATATTATAGTAGAATAATTAATAAGAAGCTCTTTTATATAGATATAATTAGAAAGAATAGACGCTCTCCGTTTTTGCTTATTAAAATAAGAGAAATAATACTAAGAGATAGTAAGAATAACTTTTAAAACTACTTCTTTATAGTCTAAGTTATCTATACTTAATATTCTTAAAAAAAAGAGAATAATATATATATATCGATTATAGATGTCCACTATTCTTGGCGTTCTTAGCTTTATTTTGGCTGAAAATAATCCTCGAGGGTTATTTTTAGATATTTCCGAGCCTGTTTTCGCTTAATAAGCGAAAATATGTGGAAATATAGTTACAGAACGATACCCTGTATATATTTGACGCTAAGCTGAAAATTAGTGGAAATAAGTAGGGGTTATTTCCAAAATATGTGGTTGCAGAAGGGGCACTTAGTGTAGAAAACGGAGCACTATCATAGCGTATCGAAAGCCAATTGATCCTACTCATGCAGGACCCACCATAAGCACAGATGCCCGGCCACTTATATCATACAGCTTTGGACCCTAACCGGGCATTCGGCAACGCAGTCTTGTGTTATCTACCAATGTAGAAGACTGTAAGACAGCAAATGGCAGTTCTCGCGGGCTTCCGCACCAAGCACACAAGGCTGTGAGCAAGCAGATAGCAGAGCAGAACCTCTGGATTTGATTGATGATTGAGCATAGATTATTTGTTTAGCGGGCATACCGTCTACTTTGCGAAGAACCCAGGACAGAGAACAAAAGAAAAACATTCTCGTAGCCTTAATCGTGGACTTCGTGGTGACCGCCAGACACTAGAGCAAGACCCGGGACTACCGAGGTACGAAGTAGATATGTGTGGAGCACGATTATTTAGCTGAAGGAAATACCCGCAAACATCACTTCACCCCAACGACAGGCTGCGCAACCCCATTGAACAATACGCCACTAACAGCCAAGGCGTTGCCCGTACCCTCCAGTAAATCAGCCTGGCTCAACAATTTGCAATGAACGCCAGCAGCGTACTGCAGGAATGAGACACCGTGACAAGGTGTTTGCGACAAAGCGGCGTTGATGTTGCTGCATTTCTGAATACAACCTTCCAGATCCGGCTCGTCGAGGTCGACGAATGAGCGTCCTGGGTAATCCACGGAGCATCTCAGCTGATATTGGTCGCCGGAGGACGTGGTAAAGGTTGCGTTGTTGATGGTGGGGCAGCCGACTGGGGAGATTTGCGTGCCGACTGGTTGGAAAGGGGTGATGGTTGAGGTGTTACTGACGGGAACGGAGCTGGAGGAAACATTAAGAGGTAGGCGAAGTTGTCCGGAGGCTGAGAGTGGCGGGGCAGTGCCTGTTAGAAGAGTGGCAGGTAGAAAAGTTGAGTTCAGAGTCGGAAATGGTACGCGGACGGAAGGTCTTGTTGCGTTCAAAGTCAAAAACGGTAAGCGATCAGAAAGTGGGAAGGTTACTCCTGTGGGTATTAGCGCGCTACCCGATAAAGAAAGGGTCCTGTTCGTTCCGTTGAATGTTGGTAAGGAAAGGAATCCCGTAGTTGGGGACAGGGGTCTGCCTGTTGCATTCATGGAAGGTAGAGGCAGACGGCCGGAACCCGTTGTGTTCGAGATCCGCGGGGGCAAGCGGCCGGATAGTGAAGCGTTAAAATTGGTTGTCAAGTTCACGGTTGGCAACGGGAAGAGGCCAGGTCTTGGCAGAGTCAAGTTTGCTGAGGAATTGGCCGTTGGCATAGGCAAAAGGCCGGATCTTGGCAGGGTTGAGTTCACCGTCATGTTCATGGTGGGCGAAGGCAGGAAGTCCGACCTTGGCAAGGTAGGATTCGCGGTAAAGTTGAAGGTCGGCGTTGGGCGACCAGAGATAGGGATGATAGAGTTCGCGGTACTGTTGACACTTGGAAAGATGCCAGCAGGGATTGAGGTAGAGATTGTCGTAATGTTCAAAGTAGGGAAAGGGCGACCAGAGAAAGGGAAGTTTGGAATGCTTGTTGGGACTAGGCTTCCTGGTAGTGGATAGCCCAAACTTGGTGTAGAGACGGTTGAATCAGAGACATTGTGGCTTGCAACAGGCAAGGGCAACACAATGACCGTGGCTGTCAGTGTCGTCGTCCCACTTGTGATTGTGGTGGTTCCGAGGGCCTCAAAATCGAAGCCGTTGATCGTCCTTGTCTGTGCCCCTCGTTAGCCAGTCCTTCACATTTCCTGGAGAGGGACTGTTCATACAAACTGTATAGTTGGCTGTGCAGTGACTGTGCTGGACGTGATCGACAGGCACGAACAGGCACTATAAGCCTCTGCGGCAATCGAGGCATTTTGCGCGATGTTCGGAAATTTGGTGACGATGGGGTCATCAGCGGTCGCAGTTGCTATGATGGGTACAGGAGCGACGACGAAGGGCGCGTCAGACACATTATCTTGGCGTTTATGTAATGTATCGCCGCTCGTGGTGGTCGTGGTGGTGAATGCTGTAAATTGGGCGACGGTGACTTTTACGACTGTATCGTAACTAGTTGTCGTAACAGTGGAGATGGTGGTACTGCGATTCGTCAGTGTTGGCGCAATCTAGGGTACGCAGGGCATACGTGTGAGATATCGTAGGTCCTTCCAAGGTCGTAGAGTCGGAGATGGAAAGTAGAGAACTGCAGTACGGTACGGAATCGGCTATATTTAATTGAAATGAGAGAAGAGTGTCTGTCTCGTAGCAGATCTCGCGCTGCTGGAGGCCTTTCAATCCGGGGAATGCTAAGGAGGAGCAAGAGAAAAAGAAAAGAAAAATCGAGACTGTTGTCGCGTAAGGAATCATCATAACGTCAGTTGGGTTGAGCACTGGGAGGTCCGAATCAGCAAAGGAAAGGAAACCTCCCACTATGTATACCTTGGAACACGCGTGCCTGGAATGGAACAAGTACGCGGTCGCATTCCAGCGCCTTACATAATACGGGCCTTACGTGGCTTCGGTCCCATCATATGACAAGATATCAGCGCATAATAAATTATAAACGGCCGCCGAGTCAATGCAAGGGGTCTTGTCCGCCCAAGCTCCACCTTGGCGAGCCAGGACATGGTCTCAGAGTTCTGACTTTGGAGGCAACCACTGGGACTGTCGTGACACTACAAGTCCCTTCCGACATCCACCTATCAGCACATCGCGACAGCAGATTCACCCAGCCCGTTAACGGTACCCTCCAAAGTTGCGATCATGATTCCTTGTTTGCCAATCTTTCCCTCAATGCACCTATTTCCCATCGCACCTTTGAAGCTGACGTTCTCGAAAGTAGCTACAGCACCTGGCCATGACTCCCATACATCGTCGAGGCTCACTGCCTCACTAGCGCCAATGTATAGGTTCGACGCTGTGGTGTTGGCGATTGTAAGCCCATTGATGGTTATGTTTGTGTTCCCATCCATAGGGTTATCACCATCGCCATGAAGCATGACTGCAGCGGCTGCTTTGCTGGGGTAGTTACAGTCACGGACAGTGTTGTTGATAATGGTGAGGTTATGCACGTAGTCTGCTTCGCTCCAGGAGCTAAACTCCGGGCCTAGGTCTAGATCGCCGTACGCGACACCTTCGAAGAAGAGATTGTTGGCAATTAGACCATCGGAGGCTTTGATATTGGCGCCGCGACCTCGATTTCCGGTCTAGATGACATTAGCTTAGGAGAACGGCAACCGGTGGTGGAAGGAGGACGTACGGTATGCGTCTAAGAGCGATCCAGTATGCATCATGAAGTTGGGAGGGTACTGCTCACATTCAGAACGTTGAAATCAGAGCCAACCCTCATTTGATTCGTCCAGTACGCATTGTCTACCACGTCTTGAACTTCTTGAGGAAGATAATTCACCGTTATCTCAAGAGGAGTAGACTGAAGGCTGACGCTTGTCACTGAAGCAGTTCCGAGCACGTCGTAGTTTCCATGGGAATAGAAGCGAAGAACATCACCAGGGATAGCCTCTCCCGTAAGCAAGATGAATGAGTTGACAGATGACCCCACACCTCGCATTTCGGATAGTGACCCATGTACAGCCATGCAGTCATCATCCAGAGCAGAAAGAAGGCACGAGTCAAACGTGGGCCAACATATACACCCTTGCTGTGAATCCCATCTGCAGAGCTGGAGCGGGCTGGAAGTTCAGTGCCTCACTAAGGGAGGAAAAGATGCGGATTTCAGGGAGAATGAGTTAAAGGTCGTTTTTCTATTGGCGCCAGAGAAGAAGCCAAAACCCGCGCAATTGAGTAAAGTAAAGTCGTTGATGATGGTATTGTTGCTGTTGGTGATTTGATTACAAAATATGAACTCTCCACGTGCGAGAAGCTTATGACCTGTAAATGGCGTGAAGTAGCTGTTCAGTAATGCCACGCTGCATGTGTTCGCTTGTCCACTGACAGGGCTGGGAATTCCGGTGACAGTACTCCAGCCCGGGCCAGCCTGGAGTCGACCAGTGCTGGGATGGGTGTACTCGGCGTTTAGTTGTCCAGTAGTCGCGTTGAAGAGATACGAAGAATTATAGCCATCGTCGAGATGGAACTCTATATTGTTTGTAATTGTTATTCCCAGTATTCTTGACTTCCGTTATTGTAGCTTGAGAAAATCCAGGCGTGTCCCACCAGACCGTTGGGCCGTAGGTGGTGAGATCGGAGCACTCGTAGAAGTTGAAGGCTGTAAGTCCAACCTCCGTCATGGTCAAGTTGACAGAGTCCATCCATATCGTGACACTTGCTAGTTTTGAGGAGAAGATGTGCGCCTGAGGTCCAGGATTCACGTGGTATGAGCCTTCCGCTAGAGTCCTACTGCCTTTGCCAACTTCCTCTAATATCCATTTCATGAATGCCTCGCCGTCCAAGACTCCAAATTTGGTCGGGAAATATGTTGGGATATCTTCTGGGCGAACTTTCGGGGCCTGTGGTCCCACGGCCGAGGCCAATCTAATCAAGAAGCAGACAAGGTGGAATACCCTTATGGTGTTTAATCAACAAACAGGTTCGCTTTCGGCAATTGGGTATAGATAGCAGAAGCACTCGAGAAGCTAGAATTTAGACACCAGATCTGGCAAGCAATGTAGTGTTGTTTCAGGGTGAATGATTCTGGTAAACAGAACGTGTTGCAGGTCCAGCTGCCAGTGAAGGAAACACCGTTGCAGTCGCAGCATAAGAATAAAGGCGATGAATTCAAAGACCAGATCTCCACGAAGGATAGCTAAGGGGAGCGGGCGGTAAATTGCAGCGGAGCGGAACGGTGGAACGCGGAAGAGGAAACCTCGCCTCTGATTGGAGCGGGTGTTAGGTCTCACAGTGTGCCCAAATTGGAAAAGAGATTGTGCGATGGGCCGGGTACTATGGTAAGTGGAATGTTTTGGGGTTCGTGTGTGTTGCGTGTTCAGACCCAACATAAGACCTTTGCCTCCCTGTACTGGATTGTCGAATACCCCAGTGTAGTTCTCTCTGAGGATTGCACAATCACTACCATCGTGTGTTTGAAATTTATTCTCCATGATTTGAAGCGACTTTTGAATCCAATATGCGGCAGAGGAGCACCATGTCAGCCTTCAGATTCGGAAGGTGTTTTGGATTTTACGGCTTCCAAATGTATGGAAAGAACCTGACAAGATCATCAACGAACTGTTCCGGCTTCTCGTAGGCCGCGAAGTGTCCACCGCTTTCATGTTCTTGCCAGAAAACAACATTGGCCTTTCTCTCGGCCCAAGATCGAGGAACCATCTCTGCCCCCTTCGCAAAAGCGCTGACAGCTGTTGGGGTTTCCCAAAACTTGTCGGCATCTGCTCCGCTCATCAATTCGGTAGCACTGTTCTCCCTATAAATGTAAAAGCCTCCCGTTGGTCCTGGGAAGTAATGCAGTAGTGTCCAGGTAATAAATTCAGTCGGAGACCAGGGATATGAGTCAGACCATGTGAACAGCTTATCTGCCATCCATGCCAGCATGGCGACTGGAGAGTCATGCATCGCGAATCCAAGAGTGCGAGGTTTGGTATTCTGTACGAGGTAGTAGGCGAAACCTTTTGTATCAAAATGTTCGTGCTGTCGGAGAGAGCGTTCCTCGAACTCCGTATACTCGGGCTTATAGTTATAGTCTGGCTCGGTCAATGATAGAAGGTTGACATGGAGCGCCTTGGCAGACTTTGGGTAAGTGTGGGCGATTGCCCAGACAATCATCGCGCCCCAGTCTCTGCCTTGCACTACGTACTCGCTATAGTGGAGCCTCGACACGAGTTTGTGCATCACCTCTGCATCCTGCCTGTGCTTGAGGCCAGTCTTGTTTGGGCAAGAGGAGAAGCCGAATCCAGGAATGGAAGGAGCAACGACGTGAAAACCAGCTGCATTGAGTGTTGAGAGAGCTTTGCTTACTCCTTGAAAAGAGCCAGGCCAGCCATTCTATTCAAGCGGGCCTCCTCGTCCCGCCAACTGTAATGATGGCGCCAGTAAGTGATGGTATCCTTCATCACCGTGAGAGTGACACCATTCTGTTCAGCCCATTGTTCGCCGGCGAGGTTCGAGGGTAAGTGTGTCAGCTCGAGTTGCGCTGGAGAAGGTCCAGCTCACTGTCTGTAATGGCAATCTGGTAGGCATAAGCCAAGACTTCTTTTCTTGGCATTTTGCGCGTACCTTGAATGGTTTGATAGCAGCGGTGGTGGCGTTGTCGGCCATTTCGCGAGTCTGCAATTTCTGTACTTTACGGCAACAGCTGACGAGATGCTGATTGGTATCCAGGGCGATATTTTGATAATTGAATGACCTTTGTGGTGGATGAGTCAAGCTTGCAAAGGACGTCAGAGTCCCAAGTTCGATGACTCGAATTGCGCTTCGATGCCATCGATTGGGGGAGAAGCTACCTTTGAACAGTAACTTATACTAGTTGTGGGCTTGAAGTATGACCGCCTTCTCACACTACTGCCCTAGGAAAAGAAGATCCCGCGCCCCCGCGGACAAGAGTGAAGACTTAGGGCGATTTACTAATTCATACCTCACTAGTGCTGTCTCGCGTAACGTCCCATGAAAACTACACGCACAAATGAGTTCTAAATGATGATTGGCTGGGTCCTAAGGCCCAGCCGCACGCAGACAGCGGTCCACTATGCAGCTCAGCCCTAGGAAAACTCCCTCTACGTAAGGTAGAAGACCTGGAGTCTAAGTACAAGAAAACGCTAAAAAAACAAGGCGCGGGTGGGTGGGAAAAGTCCAAAAAAACCTCTTCTTACGACGAGAGGAATAAGAATAAAGAGCAAGAAATAGGGGGGACACCGCCTATTCAAGGCTCTTCCAACATGGCAATCTCGGCTATCCTGCCATAAGTGTGTGCTGTGCCTCTCCCTCACTAGCCCCCAGTCAAGCTGTGGCGAAAAGTATCCGATAAACGCCGACGCCGAGGCAACAAATTTAACCGAGATTCTTCCCTCACATTCAATAGCTTCCTTATATTAATCATTAAATAACTCCACTACCAATAGTCCAATATGCCTCATATTACTACTCTACCTACTCCTAATAAGAACGAATTAGATCATATCTTAAAGCAGCAAAAAAAAGCCACAAAAACCAGTAAGAGATAGACATTTCTTGAAAAACGTAATAATCTTCTTTAGTATATTCTACTACTTTCAGAGTATTAATTAATAATAATTAAGTATTAAATAGCTATTAGTTATCTTTTAAATAATCTATTTCTTACTTTATATACTATATTTAATCTCATATAAACTACTACTATCTAAGAAATACTTCGAGATAATATTAATTTATATATCTCTATTTAAAGTTCTCGCGATTCTTATTAATACTCTATAACTATATCAAAGCTTAAACTCTTCGTCGCTATTATAATCTATATGAGAATCTTTTACTTTTCTACTATTTATAAAAGCGTAGTAATAGAGTTATTAAAAGAAGAAGATATCTATCGAGTAAGGCTAAATTCTCTCTCTATCTCTATACTACGAGATAACCATAATTAATAAGACTTAAAGGTCATTCGGGCGTATCTTATATATTATAAAAACATTTAAAATCGAGGTTTTAGACGAGAGATTAATAGGAATAGAGATAATACTCTTAAGATACGTAGGGAATATAAAGTATATTAGATCTTCTTATATCGCAAAGAGAATTACGTAAGACGATTTTATAAAAGAAATAATATATTAAACTCTATATAATAGATCTAGACTATATTTATTAAATTATATTAATATAGTAAGATAGTAATCGAAATAATAGTGCGAAGAAAACAATTTATTATCTCTCGACGTTTATCGAATAAATTCTTATCGAATTATACTTCTAATTACTAAATTATACTTCTATATCAAATTTCACTTAAATATATTAAACGATATTAGCGAGAGCTTAGATTTAAATTCTATACGACGTATTCTTTATATAGCGAAATATTTCTTAGTAGTTATAATTCGAGAGCGAATATCTATTAAAGTAATTATAATCGTATTTAGCGAAGATATTTAATTCGTATTAAATTCGATTTCTAATAATCGTTTCCACTCTCATTTATATATTATCTTTATTTATACGCTCTTTATTTTTTTAAAATAATATATATTATTAATTTATATAAATTAAAAATAATATAATCTATAAAATAAATAAAATAATATATAAAATTAATAAAATAATAGCTATTAATATTTAGAAATAATATAAAGTTTATTTATATAAATTATATTAAGTTATATTAAATTTAATTAAAAATCGTAATATTAAAAGTTATTTAAAGTTAGTATAAGATAATAAGATCTCTTTTAATAAAACTACGTAGTAGCTATATAATTACGAGGTCTAGATATATAATTAATAGAATAAATAGATTAGTTACTAGATAAACTAATAACTAAAAAAAGAAGAAGAGAAAAGAGAATTCGTAAATATTTAAGACTTCGCTAAATATATTAAATACTCGTCTTAGCTATATAGCTTATAATCTAATAAGTAATATAAGCGAGTCTATTAATTCGCTTCGAGTACTTTTACTCTTATAACTATATTCCCCCTTAGAAGATATAGCTTCTAAATTTTATTATTATTATATCTTATAATTAAATACTATAAACTTATTAGCTCTATATATATTATCTATTATTAGCTTAAATATAGTTTAAACTAATATATACTATAATAGCGTATTTAAACTACTTATTTCGAGGTCTTCTTAAGTATATTAATATATTTATATACTAAATCGCGATAATATCGCTTTATATATTATTATCTTAATTAATAGAATATAGACGTATTATTATCCTATTACGATATACTATTATTACTATTATTATATACTATTATTATTATTATTACTTTAATAATTATAATAATTCTATTATTATTATTATAAATATTATATTAATAAATATAAAAGTCTTACTTTTAATTTAACTTTTATTCTTTTTAATAATAATATTAATATTAACGCTATTATAAGTAAGTATCTAATTCTTCTTTATATCTATTATTATATCTTTATTTATTCTTATCGTAGTATCGCGATAGCGAGCTACGTATTATTATAATAGTATAATATATATATTAATTAAAATAATAATTAAGTAAGATTATAATTATTTAAATTAACTTTATATATAATAAATATCTTAAAAAATACTTTATAATACTTTATAGATAGTATAAAAAGTATATTAATATATTAATAGTAGCATTAACCCTTTACTCTTATAGTTCTATAAACTATTAAATATTTATAATTATTATTATTTCTATACTCTTCGCTATAACTAATAGATATTTATATCTATTTTAAAGATATATTTAATTAAGAAGGCTTAATAGCTCCTCTTATTATTATTTCTATTCTTATTTATAAATAAAAGAGATATTAAATAATTAAGAGATTACGCTAATATATATTAATCCCCTTTTATTATTATTATATATATACTTTTATATATAACTCTTATATAATTTATATTATACTTTCTACTAGCTCGCGCTAGCGTAAATATAAGCGATATTTTCGCGAGAGTTATATATATATTATAAACTTAATTTTTTATTATTAGATAGATATTCTCGCTATAATTTACTCTAGCGAGAATATTTATATTACTCTTTAAGTATAAAGCGATATAAATCTTAATTAATATATATTAGATTATATAGCTAATATATATAATAGCTTATTATATTAAGAAACTTTAATATAACGCTATCATCTTCGCCGCTTCTTTTACTACTTCTTTCGCTATCTCTTATATTAAATCTTCTTACTATCTAATAAATCTTTTAAATAAAAAATTATTTCTTAATATAAGAGAATAGATAGATTAATATTAGATAGTAATAATTATATATATAATCTTAATAGCTATTTTTCTTATTATACGTAGCGCTTTAGCGCTTTAAAATTAATTTATAAGCTTTTAAATTATATTCGCTAAATCTTTTAACTATAATTTTATTTATCTATTTAAATCTTCTATTACTACTATTTTCTTAATCTTTTTTATTTCTTAATTTCTCTTAATAATTATATCTTTAGCTTTATCTTAGATACTAATTTATATAATTTTTTTACTTACTCGAAGTTCTTAATTACGTCTTTAATATTTTCGAGATATTCTATTAATTTCTATAAAGCTTTATAAGATAGAGAGTCTTTTTAATTAATAAGATACTTAATCTTATTCTTATAAACTCTTTTATCTAATATCTTATTAATCTTTTATTCTTCTTCTTTATTAATTAAAATTATTTATAATTCTAAATTATTATTATATAAGTATTATAACTTTAATAGCGATATATAAAATATAAAATAATTTTTTTTATATCTAATTAAAAGATTTAGCTTATAAATCTATATATTTATTTTCTCTAGCACTTTAAAAGGCCTAAACTATTTATAATCTAATTTCTTCTTTAATTATAAAATATATATATTTAAACTTTATAATAGTACTTTATTTTCTTTCTTAAAAATTATTATTTTATAATTATTATTATAATACTTTATTTACTACTTTAATACTCGCTTCTATAATTCTTTTAGATATAATCTTATCTCTTATAATTAATCTACTCGCTCTATAATAAGTAATACTTTTTCTCTTAAAATTCTACTTTTAAAAATATTTTTTAAATCTACTATATATCTTATTAATAGCTCTTACGAAGTCTTATTAATACTTATATATATACTATTATTATATATAAATATTACTATTAATAAGATCTTAGATTAGCTATTCTATTTATAATTATAATATATTTATAGATAATATTTTAATATCTAATTTTATCTCTTAATCTAATTATTAATCTAAGAATAAAATATAGTATTAAGTTTATACTTTATATTTAAATATTAATATAGTATTATTTAAAACTTACTTATAAATAAGAAATCTTACGAATTTAGTATGCTTTAGAGGATTCTTGCCGTTCAGGTAGGGGTTCACGCTCTTTTGACGCTACGGTTAGCGATAAGATACGTTTTCCATGATAATGATAGCAACACCGGTTTGATTCCGGGTATAACCCGGATAGTCTAAATAGGTTTACTTGGCTACACTTGGATTTAGTAGAGGCTCATAACTTTCGTGCCTTTCTGAAGCTATACGCACCAAACTGCAAGTAGCTTACGGGGTCACACCCGAGGGGTTCCTAAATACGACATGCGTGTA